TGTCGGACTTTCAATGCAATCAATCTGAAATATTAATAATCCTCCCAAATTTCCCTTCCCAAATTTAAAAAACTGTAATAAACTTATTGCGCAAAATATTGCCTCGGCCGGAAATTAAACCCGGATCTCTTGCATTCTGTGCGAGCGTCCTTTATTTTTCGCAGTAAGTTTATTACTTAACACTCAGACCGTAGTAGCGCTTCGTATTTCAAGTAATGTTATTTAAACGGTCTTATTTCCAATCTTATTGTTTATAACATTGCAGTAACGTACGTAATATTACAGCAATGTTGCTGCATTACAATGTTTCTGCAATATTGTTACAAGTATTCCCCCACTGCGCAAAACTAAGATTGCGTATATATTATATTGTAATATTATTATAATATATTATGTAATATTTTTAAAATGGGCATTTTTATATTGCTGCACTGATGCTGAAATATTGCAGCAATATTTCACAATATTTTTGCAATGCTGCAATTTTGCAATGAAATATTTTTACAATATTGCAACAATGTTTCTGTGCTTTACGGGTTGCGATTAATATTTCTATATATTTTTATGTATGATATGTCCCAGTGATTCTAAAATATTTGCCATATATGTATATGCGTTTACAATGATTAATAACATGTTAGTACGCAATTTGTACAATAACATATTGCACAAATTACATAAATAATAGAGTAATTCTAAGTAGAATTTGAATATATTATCAAAATAATATACAACTTTGTAATATATATGTGTGTATGTGTGCTAAATAGAATTAAATTTTGATAAGCTTATATTGCAGAATTTTTAATAAAAACATTTTTTAATATTTTTTAGTACTTGCCGTTATTGCAGGATCTTTTTGCTTTATCGGCCAGTATTTATCGAATGGTCTCATTTTATCACAAAATATATCTCGCCTACCAATTATGATGGAGTATTTTATCGATCAAGAAAAATATTTTTATTTAATTTTATTGCACAGCTACGCAATTATATGCATCGGAGGAATTGCGATATTAGCAGTAGGAACATTGTTCTTTACGTATCTTCAGTATATCTGTGGAATGTTCAAAATTGCTGGGTACGGATAAAGATGTATGAATAACCATAATAATTTAAACTATAATCAAAATTTAACTTTTAACAACATCATATATTTAGATAACGTAATATATTAAAAAGTTTATGAAATTATGTATTTTTAATTGAAAAATTGTGTCATTCAATAGATTGCTGTATAATTACACAAACATTTACAGCTATCGTATTGAGCATGCAATAAACATCAATATTCGACAAAATATTACGCCGAAAAATAAGATTTTGATGAACGAGGACATAATTTGTGCCGTCGATATTCACCGGCAAGCTATGAAGTTAGCGTTATTCACGCCCACAACATTTAAATAGTATGTTTATCATTATTACATAAATAACATATTTCTATTTTTGAAGATTGTCCAAACATTTGCTGTCTATATTTGAAGTAACGATGTTTTGTTTAATATTATTTGGCGTGATTTGCTTAACCCTAAATCTATTACAAGTAAGTTTTCTGTTTCGTATTATAATATATGAAAATGCATGCAAATGCTGCCGAAATTATGTAATTAACAATGTTCAGTAAGTACATAAGCCAGGATTATATTAGGTGTTGGAATTAATTCGTAGCGTTTTTAATGAAAGAATGTTATTTATTTCACATGAGCATTAAAAAATACATTAATGAAAGTACTTCCCATCTCTTGTAAAACGCTACGAATTAATTCCAACACCTAATACATCTCTAATAACAATTATATAAGCATATATTTCATATAAATAATGTAAAAAATAACGAATATAATATATGATGTAAATAAAAATAATAAAGATACATTGCAATAGAAAATTCAGTAATGTTGAAGATATATAACGTTAACATACATTTACTATACTTTTAGAACTTAATGAAGAGAATTGTTGATCTATATATGTTGATTGTTTTTACGATGTTTTTTATACGATGATCGTATTTGTATTCTAAGGATGTACTTTTTTACTTTTTTTTATTTACACACACACACACACATACACACACACACGCGCGCACGCACACGCACACACTATATATATTAGGTGTTGGAATTAATTCGTAGCGTTTTAATACATACAATAACTTCATCATTATTCTTAGACTAAGAGTAAAAAATATATACATATATGTATACATATATGCAGAAGATTTATAATCTCCTTTAAATTTGTATCATAGATATTTCAAAGTGCTTCATCTGAAAATACTATCAGCGAATTTTGTTTGCCGTTGTTATATGCAGTCGTCATAATTTCATGTATGTTTATAGCCGGCTGTGGTACACAGAATATAACAGATCACAATAATTACGTATTCTCTACTGTGTAAGAAACATTTCATGATGAGTATACGACTGTTTGCACGGAAAGAACAATTTTATTGAAACTATAGAAATAGCTAAATGCAGTGAGTTTGCTGTCATATTATTGATAATTATTGAAGCTAATTAGTTTCGACAAACTCGGGACAAGATCGAGACAGCATTATATTTGTCGAGAATTCACGTGAAAATTTAAATTTTAAATTTTAAATTTTATTACAACATCAAATCGATGGCAACGTCAATTTGCTGAAAAAGATGATTTGTAATAGCAATTTTACTGTAATTAATGTTGTCATTTGTCATTTGTAATTCACAGCAAAAGTGTTTCTTCTGTGTGTTTCTTAAGAATGGCTTCGTCTGATGTAAAAATCAATGCAGTTACACAACAAATTAGCATAGTTGAAATTAATTGATAAGAAAGTTTCTTTTGTCAGAGATTCATTATCTATGTACAATTTCATAGGTACAACGTTCAGTGGTATACTGCTCCGTTACATATACAAAGAATGATATTGTTTCTATTACAAAGAAAAGCTAAGGAGTTTACTTTGAATGTCGGTGGACTATTTACTGGATCTATGGAGTGTTTCGCCACGGTAATATAATATCAACAACAATCTATAGATGCGTTCCGATATTCACTGCTAATGTTGATATAATATTATACAGTATACGTTACGTGCACTTCAGATTTTCTTCTTAGAGTACTAGCAGTGAATATCGGAACGCACCCTATATCTATCCCATTTCAAATGAATAATGTAAAAAGACATGTCTTAATTGCAGTTAGTAAAGACTTCGACATCTTATTTTACTGTCATATATTCCACGCAGACAAAATAAACATGAATTTAGTAATAAAATGATAAGAACATAGTTAATGTTAGAACATAGTTAAAAAAAATGAGAGTACTCGTATTTAAAAAAAATAATGACATTTTTTGAACACGTAGTTATCTAGAGATTTTCTAGAGATTAAAATTATTCAAATAAAAATGTTAATACATCACATCGAAATGTGTTCAAATTAAGTATTGTATGTATTATATTTTAAACAATCACATAGTTTCAATTATTGTCATTACATTATTTTCAAATAATTTTTATCTACAATTTGTTGTCGACACGTTGAACATTTTTCCTAAATAATATAGCAATTAAAATATTTAAATATTTTAAACTTTCGCCAGTTAACACAAAAGAAATAAAAAAAAGACAAATATATAATCACTAACAATATTGCGCAAAGTACTTTATTTTTAGTATGTTACCTATACATGTACAGATACTCTGGAAAAAATGTATCGAAGTATAGATACAGGTACCTTAAATATATCAAAAAAAGTAGGTATATACTTTTATTTTTAACATAAAATTTTAAATAAATGCATTTTGACGAGAAAATGACGATAAAATCTTTAACATTATTTTGATATCAAAATGATGACAACTTGCTTGTTAGGTATGATCTATGTATTTCATGTACCAGCATATAATA